CTTTCTTTCTTTCTTTCTTTCTTTCTTTCTTTCTTTCTTTCTTTCTTTCTTTCTTTCGATTAACTTCATATAGATATGTATGAAGCCAGGTTTGGTGGTATATTCCTGTAATTCCAACACTCCTGAGGTGCGGAAGAACAGAGTTTCCAGTCAGCCTAGGTTACACAGCAAGACTCTGTCTCAACACAAACAAACACAACTTTTAATTTCGTATTTTGGGTGGGGGGTTATTTGTTTGTTTGTTTTGCTTTTTTGAGACAGGGTTTCTCTGTGTAGCCCTGGCTATCCTGGAATTCTCTCTGTAGGCCGGGCTGGCCTTGAACTGACCTGCCTCTGACTAAAGTCTTGCACCACTACACCCGGCTGATTTAATATCCTTTTAAGCAGACTGATCCTTTAAAGTCCTTTGGATTTGTCTCACAGTTGGAATAGTACAGTATGTGCTTTGTGGCTTTTAACAATTGGTCCTCTAGCCTCTGTCTCCAAATGCTGGAACTACATGTGAGACTCATGAAATCTGGATGCTTTATAAAAAAAATTTTTTTCCAGCTATTTCTGTTTTGACAGTTTTGAGTGTTTGTTTTTTCAAATTCCTAGATCAAGATGATGCTACAGTGTATCTGACGAAAAGTCTAGTCAGTTTTATAAAGTAATGCAGACATCCATGTTCTGGTTAGTTAGTGATGGACATACTGTATGCTTTCACCATTATATGTGCTTGTGTCAGGCCTATTTCATTATTATTCTTGTTTTATTTACTTATTTATTTTGAGATAGGCTCAGCAGCCCTGGCTGTCCTGGAACTGTGTGGACCAGGCTGGCCTCAAATTCATAGAACTTGCCTGCCTGTGTCTCTTGAATTCTGGGATTAAAGGTGTGCTACCATGTAAGCAAGCTGAGAATGTGTAAATTTTGTTTTCTCTAATTTGCATGCCAAGTTGTGAGGTGTTGTGTTTTAAGCTGACTTTGTGAGACATGAAAACAGTGGAGATTCTAAATAAAATGATCTCATCCTAGTACTCACTGTTTGCATTGGAAATTGCAGTGTGCTCTATGGACCGTGCACTGCTATGGATGTCTGAAGGACCTGACCTGCAGCCTGGAAGACTCGGCCATCTCCATGCTGGGCTGGATTAAGTGCCTGATGAGGATGGTGTTTCATCGAGTTGGGGTCAGCATGCAGTCGGTGAGTGCCCACAGGCCATCCTAAAGTGCAGACATTTAGATATTCTGAGACTTTCCTGAAAAAGTGATATAACCTTTAACAACATTTAAGTTTATTGTCAGTAGGCTGTACTTGGTGACTGTTTAAATCACAGAAGTCTGTTCCTGGTATGGTGAGGCAATGACTTCCTAACTTATACTCAGAACTTACAGCTGTAGTTACATAAGAAAATTTAGCCTATTATATAACTCTCTGCTATAGATTTTTTTTATTTAGAAAAGAAAAATAAGGCTTTTATAGAAGTTATGATTTTATTAAGTTTTTGGTTTTCTGATTTTTTTTTAAGTCTATTAATCTATTTTAATGTGTAGGCTGGTAAGAATATTGCCAGTATAGTTAACCGCAGGTTAGTCTCACTCTGGATAGGGGCATCAAGGGAATAAAGAAAGGACTGACAGTGAAACTAGGATCAGGTGGTTAGCTTGATAGTATGCTTGAAGGTGTCCTAGAAGCCCAAACTGTCCTCATCCTTTACTGTGTTATCTGCTTCCTCGATTTTTAACAATTTAATGTGCATGTGTTCAAGCACAAAAGACTTGCAGGACCAGTTCTTCTGTTATATAGGTTTTAAGGATGGAACTCAAGGCACCAGGCTTGGCACCAAGTTCTTTACCTCCTGAGCCTCATGCTAGCTGTTGTGTGTTTGTATTCATTTATGATATTGGACATTGAACCTTGGGCATGATACATGCTAGGCATGTGCTCTACCTCTGACATACATCTCTATCTCCCAGCTCCTTGAAAAAAAAAATACTGTGTGCATGAGTATGATGTTTATGGGTGAACACTATGGCACATGTTGGAAGTCATAGGGTAACTTTCTGAGTCTGTTCACTCATTTGCCAATGTTGGGCAAGCCCCTTTAACTGTTGAGCCATTACACCACCAGCTCCCCATCCCTTTAAACAGATTGTTTTAAGATTTTGTCTCACGGTTGCTCAGGCTGGTCTTGAGTGTGCAGTTGTGCTCCCTCAGCCTTCTGAGGGATTGGGACTACATGCCATATCACAAGGCCTGATTGAGCTCTGTGTTTTGCCATTGATATCAGCAGTGCTCTAACAGCCATCCACAATTAGTTTAGTATGCCTGTACTCAGGGCCCATGGCTTTTACATAGTCTGAACATTGAGACCATTCCTCCTTACAGATGAGAAACTGAGCTCCGCAGCCTTGCTGCCTTGTCTAGTTACTGGAGCTTGAGCCCAGCTCTGATTCCATAATTCTTCCTCTTTCTGGTGTATTTTGTACTTATAGAAGAGAAGAAAACCTTAGGAATAAATACCTTAACTCTTTTAACACAGGCTCATGAAATAGTGCCCAGTTTGTAGATGAGAAAGTAGAAGTGTAAAGGATAATGATACTGCTTTTAAAGCCAAGTCTTTATGCTGCTGCTATTGGCTGTGCTGTCTGTTTTTCACTGCCATCTACTTTGCCTTTTTTTTTTTTTTTTTTTTTTAAGACAGGGTCTCACTGTATAACTTTTACTGCTCTGGAACAATGTAGACCAGGCTGGCCTTGAACTCACAAGAGATCTTGCTTTTGCTTCCCTTGACTACTGGGATTAAAAAGTGTGTGCCATAATGCTTGGCTCTACTTATTTTGTGTATGTGTAATATTTTGTTTTGTATGTATGGATGTTTTGTCAGCACATGTGCCTGCATGCGCATCACTTTGTGCTTGGTGCCAAGGAGATGAGAAGAGGGTACCAGATCTCTCAGAACTGGAGTTAGAGACTGTTGTTTGTGAGCCTCCATGTGAATGTTGGGGATTAAACCCAGGTGCCCTGGAAGAACAGCCAATCCACTTAACTGCTGAGTCATTTCTCCAGCCACTCAACATATCTTTTAATGTGTGTGTATTTGCGTGCATGCCTCTGTGTGTGTGTGTGTGTGTGTGTGTGTGTGTGTGTGTGTGTGTGTACCACAGCAAGTGTATTTAAATTAGAGGATAACTCTAATTGGAAAAATGAAAGGAAAGAGAGAGACAGACCCCAGGCAGCAAGAGTACTCAGCAGATAAAGACATTTGGTGCCAAGCATGATGACTTGAGTTCTATCCTTGGAACACACATAGTGGAAGAAAGTTTTGCAAGTCTTCTTGCAATAACTCCTGCAAGCCTATCCCATGCCTAAATACATGAACACATACAAAAATAAATGTAAAAAAATTAAAGTTTAATTTAGAGGAATCAGTGTGGGTTCTGGGTATTGAATTCAGGGCACAGGCTGAGCTAGTCTTTTTACCTGCTGATCCATCTCACTAGCCATACTTTAACATTTGTTTGTACTTAAAACATGTTCCTAATGTTTGAATTTTTCTCTGTCCTATATGTTTGCCATTAAGTATAAATTTCAAAATTTTGCTTATATTTAGACTTTTTGAGACAGTCTTAACTATGTAGCCCATGGTAGACATGAACTCAAGATTCCCCTGTCTCATTCTCCAGAGTGACAGTATTAGAGTGTGAACCACCATGCCTGGGTTTAAATATGATGGAACTGGTCCCAGCAACTTATGTTGGAAAAGTTCCAGGCAATATGTAATTTGTATTATAGTCTATGAATCCATGTTACTTATTCCTTTGTTATCATTTTGCGCTTTGGAGGAAGAGTAGAAGAGTGTGTGTGGCTGGGAGAATTGAGAGAAACTTACTCTTTCGTTATGGATTCCACTATTGTACATATGTATGTGGTATGTGTACAGTATCTGTAGCTGGGTGGTTGCATACCAGCATATTTCTTTATATTTCCTTGGCTCTTTGGAATTAGAAATTTATATTTGTTGACTCTCCTTAAAAATTGTGATTAATGATGTGGAACCACCCAGTGTTACATGCACATGTTAATTTACAAATAATTTCAGGAATATGAGACTCAAATTACATCATAGTTTTAAGAATATTCTAGAATGCAGCTTATTGTTTGACTAAATATTTTTTCACATAATAATATAGGTTAGTATAGACTAGATTCCTTTATTGAGCAGGGACAGATGACAGTTTCAAATTCTAGTTTCACATGTCAACACTTCTACAGTAGCATTTAAAGACATGAAATAGAACGAATTTTGCTTTCCTGTTGTCTTTTCCTTGCTGTCGTCACTTCCAAACACTGTTGCTAAATGTTGTGGACTGTCATTACTAGACACAGGCATGCACAAATACACATACATGTAGATTATTTGTAAGCAGTTTTTGTAGGTAAACCAATGTATAGTTTTCTCTTCTCAGAAGTAAACTAAATTGTCTTATTTATTAATTAGATCAAATGTTCTCATAATGAGTTTTCTCCTTGCTTACTCGTATATCTGAAAAAAAAAATAGATGATGGTTTCTTTTTAGAGAGAGTCTGCCCTTCTCTAAACAAGTGTACTGACAATCACAGTTCAGCCATAAGTCAGGGTAGGAGATGCACTCAGGTCACACAGCTTCCTAGTGCACAGACGGTGACTTTTCAGTACCATCTGCACATTGTTTCTTCCCAGCCATTTACAATTTCTCCTCACTATGAGGGCTGCATTTAAAAGGGAAAAAAAGAAAAAGAAACAAGTATCAGGGCGTAGCATTATCCGTTCTGGAAGTTAGCTGTTCTTTCCTCTCATTTCTTATCATCTAGTGGATCTGTGACTCCTTCTAAATATTCCAGTCATTATTATACAGACCCTTGCTTTATAGTGTTCTCATATTAAGTACTGGGCAGTTCACAAGAATCAGAAGAGCAACATTATGTTAGTTTACTGTGTATGCTTAAAAAATAATGACACAAAGCGATCTGTTCTAACTTTGTAGGCAAACCTAAACAGTTTATTTATTCCTTATAGTTAAAAGCGGAATCACTGGCCACTTCTCTCCCTGAAAGTGCCTGGCATTCTCTCCTGATGTTAAACCGAAGGAAGATGCCATTGAGGTTGCTGGAAGCTGGCAGAAGTACTGGCCTACCTGGGCAGGTCCTTTCTAATTTTGTTTTATGAGCCTTTTCCTCCTTGGGTGGGAAGTTGTTTCCTAGAGAGGCTCACTTCAGACAAGGTAATTGTCACATTATGATGCACAAATAGCATTCTGCTTTTCCTACATCATAGTAGAGTTTTGGCTTGTGACTAATAGATTAGAAAAGAATGACTGAGTGGTACGGTTACCATTGCCCTATGGGCTTTACTTTAAAAGATCAAGACCTATTGAAATGTATAAGGTAAAAAGTTAGGTTAGTGATTGTGTATTACAATGACCTGCCTGCATTGTTTCTTGGCTAGTGATTCTTGTTGCTCTGACGAACTGTGAGAACTGTTTCCTCTGTCAGAAGTTTTTCCTGGTCCTCTCATAATGAAGACTGCTAATGGTCCTCTGTATAATTGTCAGTGTTTTTTATACTTTGCTGTAGGCCTAGTAACTTTGTTTCATAAATTCTTTGTGTAACTTAGTTCACATTTTAATATTGAATCTGTCTGCTGACCCATATTTCCAAATTGTGCTCATTTTTATTTATATAAGAATTTTTTTGGAAATCTTCCAGGTAAAAGTCATTAAAATCAGGAGCATATATAATAGAAGAACTTTTAAAAAGTTGAGACAGATGCCTGAGGTACCCCACAGACCTCACTCTGACTCATTCATATTGGTATTCTAAATTGGATTTGGTTCCTAAAATTTGAGAATGTGAAGCTGTTTCTGTGAATGTATACACTGTATATGCCTTGAGAATGGTGTGAGGTCTAGTTTGGGTTAGTGTTATAGTCACCACAGTAAATGGAAACCCAACTGCTGGTCTTAAAGTTTCCATTAAATTACTTGGTATTCATAATTACACCAAAGTAATAGCATAATTTTATTCTTTAAACTAGAATTTTGGCTGACCTTAAAAAAGGGAACTGTGTCTGTTACTTATCTGATAGATGTTTATTTAAGTATTAAGATATAATTGAATATGAACATTTGAAGTATGATTTTTTTTTCTGTCAAAATTGCTTTTTACTTCTCCTCTGTCTAGGCTTTCAAATGTAGCACTCAAATATACATGGTATATTCTCTGTCTAAGAAAAGGAAATGTTCCAAGTGTAATTTGCAGTAACTTACCATCTATGTGCGTGGGTTTTGTCTATGTAGTTTTAAGAATAGTCTAGTGCACCGTGTATTTTCCCACTAGAGGGATACTCCTTATGCCAACTACTAACTCACATAGCGTTTTTGTAAGAATTGAAGACAAGGCCCTTCAAGGTGACAGTGACTAGATTTATGCCACGGATGCTTGGTCAGTCACTTTTGTGTAGCAAATAATGTTCATATCACAAAATCACTCCTCAAGCTTCATACTGATTTGGGATTTAATTTGAAAAATCACCATAGCAAAGTGGTTCATATTTCCAAAATTTTAACTTTTTAAAATTCTAAGCCTGAAAATATGGTAGAATAGGTACAGTAGCATTTCCTCTGTGGAATTGTAAGGAAATAGTTTATACTCCCAATACAATAGTATTTTAAGATTGCTAGAGGATATCATTGAGGCTAGTGAGATGGCTCCACAAGTAGAGAACTTGCTGCCCAAGGGTGACTACCTGAGTTTGATCCTCTGAATTCATGGAAGGTGGCAAGAGAGAAGAGACTCCACAGAGCTGTTCTCTAACCTTCATATGCAAGCCAGTACACATGCACACACTCATATTCCCACAAGATAAAAAAAGTTGCAAGCTACTGTTCTATATAATATCTTACTTGACGCTGTATTGCCTTAATACTAAGTGTCTGTCTATCCTTTCAGTTCCAACTTGAGATATACTAGCTTATTTCCTAGAGAACATTTAGAACATCATATTTAGAATGTCATATAAGATATCTTATACGATGCTTTATTGCTTTAATACCAAGTGTCTATTTATCTATCCTTTCAATTCTAATTTGAGAAACACTAAATTATTTTCTAGATTATTTAGAACATTCTGGTACTGTGATTTACCTGTTAGCATGTACTCAGGAGGCCCATGTATTAACAGTTTGAGAAATTTGTAAATATTTGATTTTCCTCATTTCTTTAGGTCCTTTGGTCTGGAAAACCATATGGTTCATCTAGAAGTATCGTAAGGAAAATTGGTACCAGCTTACCTCTGATTCAGTGTCCAAGAGTTCAGTTTCCGGTATGTGTTTTGTGTTTTTCATGTTTTTGTGGTAATATGTGTAATGTGAATAGGCAAAGTATTTTTGGGAATACTGAATTGTTTTTGAGGCATTCTCCGATTAATACCGCTGAATAGAGAGGATTAACCATCAAGGTCTTTCTAATTTTAGTTCCTCTGAAGTGATTATTCCAGATCCTCAACATTTATCCTCCTTGAAAATGCGTAGGGGAAGCTTGGGAAACCTGTGATAAGACTTGTGATAATTCCCAGGTGACCTTAAACCTATTTGGTCTTTGAGTGGTTATTTAATATTATGCCTTCTTTAGCTATTCTGGTCCTAAAGATGATTCTTGGCAAGACGCCAAGCATGATGAGTTTGATCCCGGGGACACACATGGTAGAAGGAGAAAAGTGATTCTTTTAAGTAGTTGTCCTCTGATGTGAACACTGACAGTTAAAGATACACACACACACACACACACACACACACACACACAGTAAGTAAGTAAGTAAGTAATATAAAAAAGTTTCAAAAGTTTCCTTCTTTGCATTGATCGTGTCTGTTCATCACTGTGAAGGGCTAGTTAAAAACTTTGAAGGTTTGTGTTTTTATGAATTTCTGAGTTGTGTGAGGTGAAAACAGGAAGAGCTGGTTATTCACAGCCTGTATCCCAGAACAGCTGGTTATCTACGGCCTGTATCCCAGCACTTCAGGGCAGAGGCAGGAGGCTCAGGGTAATATAGACTAGCACCAGCTACACAGTGATGCTATGTTTCTACAACTAAGAAGGAAAGAAAACATTCTTATGTTTTAAACTTAAGAACACACACATGCAGGTGATCACAAATATTGACATATTTTAAGATAACCTGGGCAGGAGTTGATGGAAGGGTGCTTAGTAATGTGAATTCCATCTTCTGCAACTAACAGGCGTCTGGGTAATTCAATCTTGAATATTATTTGTGATATTCTGTTCCAGACTCTTTCTTGAATTTTGTGGAGTGGTTTTTGGAAAAGTTCTGAAACTGCACTAGTAGTAAGTTCCATTTCCCCTATAAGTCACCTACAAAACTGGAAGCTAAATGGCCACTTAAAGAAAATGGCTCATTTTTCTTTAACAAACTTGAAGTCTGTACTTTTTATTAGGTGCTGATATTCTCCTAGAGAGAGATTTAACAAGCAAGTATTTTAATGAGCACAGGGTTAGAATTGGAAATGTTTGGGGGGGGGAAACTTGTATGGGGTGTACATAGCCTTCCACTATTTAAGCCATGATTAGGTATTACAGATAATCTAGAGATGACTGCCGGGTGTGGACATGAGATATATATATATATATATATATATATATATATATATGCCATTTTAGAGCAAGTGGCACAAGCTTGATATGTTTGGTATGTATAGGAAAGTGTCGTGGAAGCCAGTCCATCGTGGACACTAAACATTTTGTTGAAGTCCATTTTATCAGATTTTTTTTTTACATTATCAGAATACTTTAAATTAGTTGAAATTGTTGTGGTAAGCTTCTAAGATATTACTGAGTTTTGGCTTACTTTTTTTCAATTTTTAAAAACTTTAGAAATACAGTGGCTACTCTCCATTTTTCTATGTCTTCACTCTAATCTTTTCTACTAACAGTAGCTTTAACGGGACAGGACCATTCCACAAATTAAGAGTAAGTCCTTTGTTTTCAGACATCTCGCCTCATCCCTGCATGCTCATGGTCATCTATGCATGTCCATGGCAGTAATGTCTAAATCATGCTTGAAGAACTTGGCCTTGTTCCCCCTTGCCAGTGCCCACTTTACCTGGACTTATAGTTCCTTGACTTGTCTTGGAAATCACCTTTCCTGTGTCATGCTTATGTCACTCAGTGAATGTTTCTTTCAAGCAGTACAGTTTTCTTTTGTCTCTTAACTGACATTGGCTTAAGTGGGGGAACAGCTTGTATTAGGGAGAATGTCAGATCAAGATGTTAGAGACAGATCTTGATGGCTGCATTGCTTTTTCATCTCATTGATCGTGTGCCACTATATACTGATATAGTTGTGCAGCATAATTAATAAGTAAGATTACAAAGTAAGACCTACAAGGTGTTATAGTTTTGGTTTTTTGCTTTTACATTTTTTTCCCCCTGCGACTCACTCTGGAACTCATTCTGTAGACCAAGCTGTCCTCAACCTCAGAGATCCGCCTGCTTTTAAAGGCATACGCCACCACCACCACCTGGCAAGAGATTTTTATATTTTTATGTTACATATATGTGTGTTTTGTGTGCTCCTGTGCATCATAGAGGCTAGAATAGGCCATCCAAACCCCTGGGAACTAGAGATACAGATGATTATGAGCTACCCTGAATGCTAGGAATTGAACCCAGATCCTCAGGAAAAGCATCCAGTGCTCTTAATCTCTGAGCTATAGCCCCAATTGCTTTTACATTTTAAAAATTCTATTTATTTGTGTGTGTGCATGTGCATGCATTGTGTGTGTGCTTGTGTGTATGTGTGTATTTGTGTGTGTGTGTGTTTGCATTCGCATTCATGCATGTATGTTTCCTGGAAAGCATGTGAAAGTTAGAGGACCAGTTTTCAAGAGTCATTTCTGTTTCCACAATACGAGTCTCAGGGATAGAACTCAGATACAAAATTAGAAAGTGTTTGATCCTTAATTATTATTGTTTATAAAACCTTGAAATTCAATTTGAGTCCTTAAATGTGGGCTGTCCCCCCCCCCCCCCCCGCCCCTTGTTATTTGAAATAAGGTCTGACTGTATGGCCAAGACTGTACTGGAGTCCAGGATCCTCTCCCCTTACTGCCTAGTGTTGGCAGTACCGCACATGCACCACCATGCTCTGTCTCAAGTTTGTGTTTTCCTGCCCTTTTTCCTTTCTGCTTTTGAGACAAGGTCACATGTCCCAGGCTGGCCTCAGACTTTGTATGTAATTGAGTGGACCTTGAATTTCGGATCCTCTTACCTCCACCCCCGTCATTCATGCTCAGGTTATGTGGAGTTGGGGATCAAGCCCAGGGTTTTCTGCACTCTAGGCAAGTACAGACTGGTAAGAAGTTAAGCATATATCAGAGAAAATCTACTTTTGAAATTAAGACATTTTACTTTTTCATAAAAATTGTAGGATATTTAGCCTTACTCCAAAATAAAACACTGCTAAAGACACAGATTCCCAGGGTCTGAAGGATGGTTTGAATATTGGACAGTTCCCAGTGCAGCATGTCTGTGAGTGTGCCAGTGAGGAAATCTTTGGCCTTTTTGCTTCTTTTTCTTCAATTATAAAATGCATTGCCATGTTTGTCTTTTTGAATTATTTCCTCTGTTTTGTTGGTGTACTAAGAACTGAACTTAGGTATTCTGTGTTCTTGGCAAGCACCCCACAACCGAGCTAGCTCCCCAGCATTTCTAAGCTTCACTTCTAGGAAGTTAATTTGGAAACTTTATATTTAAATTGTTAATCATTGACCTTCTGATTTTGACACATAGTATGTGAAATATAGCCTAAATTTAATTCAGTTATATTGTTTTCTCCCTCAGCTACATTTTAGAATAACATAGTTTTCCTTAATCCATATGTTTGTTCAGCTAGAGAATTCTGTTCCTCTGTTCTTTGTTTTTTTAATAGTGTTAAAACTTTAATACTTTGCTATTTAATACACTTAAAATTCAAGAAATTTAAAGCATTTTAAAAAATTATTTTCAACCATATCATATTGTAGCCAAATACCTGACAGAGTAGGTTAAGGAGGAAAAGGCTTATTTTTGCTTACAGTTAGAGGGGCAGTCCATCCTGTCCAGGAAGGCTTGGTGCTCAGATGATCAGATGATTGGCCCTTTGTCTGCCACCAGAAAGTAGAGAGAAACGTGCTGGTACTCAGTTGGCCTCCTTCCCACTACCTTAAGTCAGGTCTTCCCTTCTCACTTAAACCAAGAAGTGTGTCTTCTGGTTTTTGTTTGTGTTTTTGTTTTGTTTTGGTTTAAGACAGGATCACACTGTATACCAGGTGGGCCTGGAACTCACTTTATAGACCAGTTTGGCCTTGAACTCACTGAGATCCACCTGCTTCTTCCCAAGTGTTCTGGGTAATCCTAAATGCAGTCAAGTTGATAAAGATATGAACTATCACCATCACTAGTGCATTATAGTCGTGTACCACAGTGGGTGTGACAGTGTTTGCCATCACCATCACTAGTGTATTATGGTTGTGTACCACAGGTGAGGCTTGGTTATTGACTTTGGTCCTTCCACATTTGTTTCACTAACTCTTTTCAGGAAAAAGTGGTATCTTTTTGTTGTTGTTGTTGGTTCTACAGAGCACAGGGCCTTAAATGTGCCAGGCAAGTATCTTACCACTAAGTCACATTCTTAGCCCAAATCAGTGTTTTGTTTTTATTTTTTTGTTATTATCATTTATTACATTTATTCAATTTCTTTCCTGGCTGTGTTGCCCTCCCTCATCTCCTCCCAATTCCACCTTCCCTCCCTCTTCTCTCCCTCTTCTCTCCCTATGCCCCTCCTCTAGTCCACTGATAGGTGAGGGCTTTCTCCCCTTCTGACCCTGGCTTATCAGGTCTCATCAGGGCTGGCTGCATTGTCTTCCTCTGTGCCCTGGCAAGGCTGCCGCCAAAGGGGGAGGTGATCAAAGAACCAGCCACTGGGTTCATGTCAGAGACAGACCCTGCTCCCCTTATTAGGGAACCCACTTGGCTACTGAGTCTATGGGCTACATCTGAGCTGGGGTTTAAGGTCCTCTCCATGCATTGCCCTTGGTTGGGGTATCAGTCTCTGCAGGGCCCCGAGGGCTTAGTTTTATTGGCTCTGTTGGTCTCCTTTTGGGGCTCCTGTCCCCTCCAGGTCTTTCTATCTCCTCCTTCTTTCATAAAATTATCTGCACTTTGCTCAAAGTTTGGCTGTGAGTCTCAGTCTCTGCTTCGATACCTCCATCAGTAGAGTCTTTGAGAGGCTCTCTGTGGAAGGCTCCTGTCTTGTTCCCTGTCTTCTGCTTCCAAAGTCTGTCGTATTTGTCCTTCTGAATGAGGATTCATCATCTTCCCTAGGGTCTTCCTTGTTGTTTACTTCTAGAGGAGTATAGATTTTAGTATGTTTAACCTATATTATATGGCTTATGAGTGAGTATATACCATGTGTGTCTTTCTACTTCTGGGTTACCTCACTCAAGATGCAAATCAGTGGTTTTTAATATTTAGAATCTAATTTTTTTCTTATGCCTTTGGATGAATGAAATAAAAGAATTATGATGCAGAAATTGTGTAATGTTAAAATCCTGAGGTTGTGAACCAGGTCTTAGTAACATCCGATAAAACTAGGTGGCCCTTCTGTGGAAGCCTGCCATGGAGGTGGGCCACCCTTGTGGTGTTAGTACAGGCTAAAGATATCTCTGGTTTTTAATTTCATGTTAACATTTACCGATAAAGGATTTTTCTCTATTTGTCACTTCCAGCTTACCAGGCATGCAACAGAATGGCATTCCATCCGTCCAAGAGAGGATGTAGTGACATCTTTTGCTGATGTTGCATGGATAGCCACAGAAGAAGGAGAGTGTTCAACAAGACTCAGGTCAGTTTGCAAGGCTACAGGGCTGAGGTGCACTATCTGCTGTGCTGAGAGATGACCTGAAGAGCCTGATTTGATGATATCTTACCCTTCCTCCCCACCTCCCCCTGAGCAGTTATTTTTCAGAATCAGGTAGTATTTATTAAGTTCCCAGGGACATCTGGCCTAAATCCTTGTGAACCATAGAGTTCTCTGCCATTCAGGTGGTTACAGTCTAGTACAAGGGGCTAGAAAGAACTATCAAAGATAGGTTAGGTGACTACAGTAATGATAATAGTTTCATTGGATCATAGAGAATTTGTGTACTTGAGAATGTTTCTTACAAACTGTATCAAGATGAGTTGGGGTTACATGAGGGAACAATGAGAGTTAAAGATGTTTCCATTCATTTGAGAGCTTACAAAGAGTATTCCCTATGCAGGCAATCTAAGAAAGGTATTCGGCACATGTTCTTCACACTCACTGAGCACCAGAGATCAGAAGCAGTCTCTAGGTTCTTGGTGTACTGGAGGACATTCCAGGGGAAGTCCATGTTTCTGATACTGTAAAGTGTGCTCCAGGAAGCAGCTGGAGAAAGTCCCTGAATGATGATGACAGCACTTCTTGAGAAGTGGGTGCCAGAGCTGAATGGTGAGGGCCAGCCAGAGATAAGCAGTTGGGAAGGCTGTTTCTCAGAGTACAGAACTTGTTGAAAGGTCAGCCTGGGATACCTGAGACTGTCTCAAAATAAAATAAATAGTGGCTTCTTTACATCAAAGAAGAATAGTAATTGTCTTAGGGTTACTATTGCTGTCATGGAACACTGTGAACCAAAAGTAAGTTAGGGAGGAAGGGTTTATTCTTCTTACACTTCTGCATTGCTCTTCATCAAAGGAAGTTAGGACAGGAACTCAAGCAGGGCAGGAACCAGGGGCAGGAGCTGATGCAGAGGTGTGGAAGAATGCTGCTTATTGGCTTGTTCCTCATGACTTGTTCAGCCTGCTTTCTCCTAGAACCCAGGGCCACCAAGCACAGGGATGGCACCACCCACAGTGGTTAGGCCCTCCCCCATTAATCACTGATTCAAAAAATGTCTTACAAGCCTCTCTACTTACAGCCTGATCATCTGGGGCAGCAATTCTCAACCTGTGGGTCATGACCCCTTTGGAGGTCCAATGATTGTTTCGTAGGGGTCATCTAAGACCATCAGAAAACACAGATATTTACATTACAATTCATAACAGTAACGATTACAGTTGTGAAGTAGCAATGGAAATAATTTTCTGATTGGGGGTCACCAAAACATGAGCTCTATATTAAATAGTCGGCAGCATTAGGAAAGTTGAGAACCACGTTCTGGAGGCATTTTCTCAGTGATGTTCCCTCCTCTCAGATGACTCCAGCTGCATCAAGTTGACATAAAACAAACCATCACAGTATTGAAGTTAGATAATTTCATTGCCTTGTGCTATACCTAGGAGCCTGGGCTCTTCTACCTTAGAGTATCTAGGGGTCAAATGAAGCAGACAGAACATGAAATCTCAGTAGCAGAGCTGGTGTGGTGAAATAGTTTAAAGAAAATCAGCACAGTTAGCTGATTTCTGCTTTTTGAACATCTGTTGTAGACATTTCTTTTTGTTTTTATATTTATGATTTCAGTCAAACAAAAGGGAAAGGATAAAATTCATCTAGAGGCATATAGGTCTGTAATCCTTACTTTGTGTATATGTGTGTGTTGTGTGGTGAGTACTTGTTCATGTTAGTGGACATACATGAGCATATGTAAACGTGGAGGCCAGAGGTCAGGCTCAGGTGTTTTTCTAGTGCTGTCTGTCTTGTTTTGAGACAGTCTCTCTGAGACCCAGGCTTTCACTTAGGCTAGGCTGCCTGGCCAGTGAGCCTCAGGGCCTCATCTTTCTTTGCCTCAACAGTGCTCAAGTTATAAGCATGTACACCCACACCTAGCTTTTCCTGTGGGGTCCAGGGATCAACTTAGGTCCACATGGCTGTGCAGCAAGTACTTTCTGTCAATTACCATCCTAGACCATCTTGTTTTTTGAGACAGGGCCTCATGTAGTCCAGTCTGGCCTTGAACTTATTATGTAATGAAGGATAATTTTGAACTCCTACCCCTCCTGCTTCTCCCAGCTGAATGCTGAGATTGTAGGCATATTGTACTCTACCCAGTTTTATGCAGTATTGGGATTTGAAACCAGGGCTTTGTGCATCCGGAACCAGCACTTCAATGACTGAGCTACATTATATCCTCAGCCCTCAGATGCTGTTTCACTGTGTAGGCCAGGCCAGCCTTGTACACATGATCCTATTGCTTCAAGTTCTGGGATGCAGGCATGTGTCATCATGTCTAGCCTTCTGGAAGGTCCTGTGAATTTTATTTTTAGTCACGTTTTAAATAAATTTCCTCATCTGGTCTTCTCAGTATCAACGTAAAAAAAGGAAGCAGTAATTGAGGCATCAGAATCCGAACACTTCCCTGTCCCACACATATCGAAATTTAAGAATGTGCTACTATCATGTTATAGGTGCTGAGGACTGGGGTAGAATTGGCATTTATTCTTGAAATTTTTTTTGTTTCAAATCTTATATGTAAAAAAAAAACTTGCAAAACATTTTAGCTTTCTCAAATCATAAAGAGATTTGAGCAAAACACCTAATTGTTTCCAGTGCCAAAAGCTAAGAGTCATTTATACAGCTTTCAAGCAAAAACAAAACACCAGTATCATGCTTAGTGAAAGTTAAATTGAGTGTTGTTAAAAGGCTTGACTAACACCTGTGATTAATAACATTTGTTTGTTTGAAATAGCATGGTGGTGCTGGTATGTAATCCCAGAACTTGGGGGTAGAGGCAGGAGTATCTTTGAAAGCTGGGCTGCCTAGACTTTTAAATGAGCCAGAGCTGCCCAGTGAGATCCTTCCTCAAAAACAAAGTCTGATTGCATGTGACAAAAAGGTATGAGGAAAGCGATCTGACTAATGTGGCTGCCACTTTTCTTGCCCATAGTTCATTTTGTGTCTCAGAAACATGTAAGTATAGCTGGCCTGGAGCTGACACCCAGACAGTGTCATGGAGACAGCCTTGCTGCAGTCCTGCCACATGAGCTGTTCTCACTCTGCACAGAGAGGAAGGCTGAGGTGAACTAACACTGCCTATCACTTTTTTAGCTTGCTCAGCCACATGTTCCCCAGACTGCAAGAGAGACTGGAAAGTACAGTCATTAAGCTGTGCACAATATTATTGTTTCTGTTTTGAGTAGCACAGGTTGGCTTCTCACATACTGTGTTAGTTCAGGCTACTGTGAATTAGTGATCATCATACCAGGAATTATGATTATCTCCTGTTCTGAAGAATTCTTCTGGTTTTATGTGTTCTCTGTGACTGTCAGGCCAGAGTTCAGGGAGCAGTGTTTTCAGTGTTCAGACTTTCACAGCATGGGTATTAGGGAAAATAGACATTAATGGTTCCTTTTCCTTTCAGATTCTGGGCTGTGGTTGGCTTTTATTGTCCTGTAAATTTTTTGTTTGATGTGTTCTGTCAAGTGTGGGAAACACTGGCACTAGAAGGCCGAAGCCTGGCCTCTAGAGAAGGGTTCATATATTCTTGGTTTGATCTTTCTGTTGGTTATGATCACATTGCATTTGGAAGATGACTTTTTTTTTTTAGTTGAAGCCGAAACAGAACACAGACCACCAGCAGCTTTTGTGGGCTCCTGTGTTGCCTCTTAACAGTGGTGGATTAGCACACTCTGTAGACAGTAAAGGAGTGTGGGGAAGTACTGGCACGCATCTGGAGACTGTGGGCTCGTGTGGAAGCCTGAAGAGCAGTATGTAGGTGTCTATTCAGGTTAACAATCCTGTGATGGCCACCTTCATGTTTGCCTTGCAGGGCAGAGATCAGGTCCAAGCCTCCCCTTGAGGATGACCTTCCTTTCCTGGACAAGCCCCCAAGCAGGCACATCTCCTTACCAAACTTGTCTCAAGAGGAGCCTTCTCCAAAGACAACACTGGCCAGTGAGGAGGCCTTGCAGAAGATCTCTGCACTTGAGAATGAGCTTGCTGCCCTCAGAGCTCAGATTGCCAAGATTGTGACCCTGCAGGAGCAACAGAGTCCCAGTACAGGTATGTGGCTCCTGTATTGTTTTGTGATGGGCCATTGGGATGGTAGGGCAGCGTGAGCTATTAGTCTTCTTTTCTGTTGTCTAGTGCAGAACCTGATGACTTTGTGTTTGAGAAGACTAGGGAATAATCCAACTTGGCAAATGCTGAAATGCCTGCATTTGAAGTGGGCTGTTGTGAATGGCAGCTTTATGGGAACCTTAGATCTGTCCACCTGATAACAACCTCTCTTAGACATGAGGACATTCCTTGCCTTTCTGTGTTGTAAAAGGAACTGGTTTCTGGGTGGGGACTTGTGCCAAGTGCTATTTACACCTGCATGGCCTGAGGTAAAGTCTGATATTTCACCTCCCTTTCCTCCTCTAAATGGTTATAACAATACCTGTTTTAAGTGCCATTAAGTATGGAAAGTAAATAAATGCACATAGCAGGTACCTAATGACCATTCTTTTCCTCTTGTCCAAAGTAGAGACCAAGTTTAGGACTTCTAATCTAATACTATTGGTGTAATTAGTGTGCCAGTCTGTTGGAGAGTGGTTGTTTTTCCTGTTCTTTCACAGTCCTAGCAAGACCCTT